TGTGATCAATACCAAGATCTCGTTCAGCCTTAAAAGTCTGAATATATATTTTGTTTAATTGAAAAATTTTAAAAACTCAATTTTTTTTTTAATGTGGTATACATCAAAATGCATAAAGACTATAGATAAATTTTATTGTGATAAATTCTATCAAATTTTACATTATTCACACAAACTCTTGAGGGGAAAGAAAATTATCCATATTTTTCTAAATCAAGGTATTTTGGGTGAACATGGAAAATACACTATGAAACAAAGAATTCAATGGAAGTTTGAAGGAATTTAGAACTGAGACAAAGTAGTATGTTTGTTACTAATTTTGAAGTATCTATTTTTAATCCTTTGGTATAAGTCCTTTTTTATTACAAAGAACAACTGCCAAATGCCAAATGAGTAATTATCTGGGAATCAATTGTCTAGGGGAAAAAATCACAAAGAAGTGGTTTTTAAGATTTTTTTTTCAGATATGTAACTGTTTAATCTGATATAAACTTTAAGATAAAATGTATTAAGGTAGTTGCGTACTTAATTTTGCCCATTCTGTACCCTGTGACATTCACTTGTTCAGGATTACTAAACCCACATGCTGTAATAAATATATGATATATATATATACTTATATATAATAAACTTAAAGCATATATATATGTCTAGTAATAGCAGACACTAGTTTCTGTTAAGGAATTGATAACTTATTATGATATATATGTATTATATATCATATGTTAACTGACTTATTAATCATAAGTTTAATTCTTAGACCAAGATCTTTGTTGTAGGATTTGATAGTTTCTTGCCAAACATGTATTAACCCCTTTCTCTTTACAAACAAAACTCAAATTTTTAGCTGGTTATATTGCTTCCCATAATAGAAAGTACATTGTCTTCCAGACATTTTTACAGCTAAAATTGGCCATTGAACTGGCTTTGAGATATTAGGAAGAAATATTTGTGGGAGTTTTCTGAAAACCACTTAAAGAGAATTGACTCACCTAGAAGTCTGATATACCCTCCCATCTTTCCTCTTAGAATTTAGCCTGCAAATCAGTGGTGATAGTTGGAGGATCAACAGCCATATTGAAACATAAGGTGATTCTGAGGGTAGGAATCCACGTGCTGGGTGCAGAAGAAAGAAACTTGGGTCCTTGAGAAAATTGTGGAGCCAACATTCTTACCAGTAATTTCTACTTTCAGATTTTTTCTATATGTGAGAGAGATAAGGTTCTATCTTGTTTAAGTCATTGTTATTTTTGTGGTTGCTATAGCAAGAATTTGAGTGAGCTCAAACTAGTACTTTGGAGTGTGGTTATATCTGATGGATCCATGGATCAATATCCTTCACTGCCAGCAATTAGTATGTATTGTTAACGATGGTTGGAAAAGTATTCCTCTTAGCAAGGAATGACTTGTTAAACCCTAATGTGACTAGGTAGTAATGCTCTTATTTATCTCTAGTCTGTGAATTTGTGTCCACATTCTCTGGGAGATTGGTATTTTGTATTGTGTTGTTCTGTTCTTGTGTTAGGAGAGACATCGTAAATCCATCTTGTAGGAAAAAATAACAACTTGCTTGGAATTGTGACTAAAGTGGATTATACACTGCACATGAACAAGGAAAGCCTTATACTTCCTACCCTGAGACAAAATTAACCTTAAACAGTTAATTCCTTTGTTCCACAAATAATTTTCTGACTAGCTATTATGGAGAAAATAAATTATGGGGAGGCTTTGTTATTTAGTCAACTTATGTTCAATATCACATGGGGCATCTGTGAATTTGGAGAAAGTAGAAAAAAAGGAAAGAAAAATTCAACTGAAGAAAAACAGTCTAAATATTTGCTCTAAATAGTTGTGTTCTTTTAAAAAACATTTTTTTTCCTGTGTTTAAAGACAGGACTATAATCTGCATTTTCCCAGATGGCATCAACCTGTGAGTAAAACTATTAATGTTATGTATTAATGCTCAAATACACAAGTTTATAGCTGCCATTACAAAATTTCTCAGTATACCTGCCACAAAACCACCCGGCCTTTTCTGGGAGTCCTGGGAGAAAGGTATCACATATGTTTAGGATTAGTTTGTTCATATTAATCACCTACTAGCTGCTATGGTGCTTGTAAGACTCTTAGACAGCTGTCTCACCATCCTCCCTCTAGTCAGGATCTTCCAGGAGAACATTTCTCTCCTGTAAAAGTGCCATATTCAAGTTCTCTCTAGGTTGCAAATCACTATGCTGCCAAAAGAACGCTATTTTTGTGCTAAACTGCAGTATGTTGGAGATTGACTTATTTTGTGTAGTAATGTCACCTCAATGTACTACTGCTTATACTCTTGAGTATCACAGTTCTTTGTTATGCTCTATCCCTTGTGTCTCCATTGGAGGCACCCAGGGTATGAAGTTTTATCTCAACAGTTTTGTATTCTCCTGTGTGCAACAACTCATGCTAATAGTTTGCTCGGAGGGCTACTGCTCCATCAGTTCATCAGACATAACCAAACCCTGAATCCTAGTTAGGGCTCAAATGGAAAGCTTGCTACACCAAAACTTGGATTCTAGATGGCTTTGATAAAATAGCTAGTTGAGAATGAAGGTTTAATTTCTTGATATTACGTGTGTTATATATCTGTGTGCATACATACATATATGTATTACTATATCCCATAAAACTTGTAATTTGCATCAACATGATGTGCTTGATACCATAGACGATGCCATTTTCTCATTCCGTCATCTCTTTCAGTTGCAAAACTAGTATAAAAGAAATGCCAAATGCTATCACGTGTATTTTACTTATTCTATGTTTATCTAGATATGAATATGAGTAATGTGCTTGGCTATATTATTCCCTTAAGCCACTGTTTTCCTACATGCTGAAAAACCTTCTATGCATAGTTTATATATTTTTTGGATTTGTTTAAAAAGGTGACCCAGTAAGTTTTTCCCTGTTGTATTCTTCCCTTAATAAATGTAGTTACTGTTACTATGCGCAAAGGAGAAAGAGATATAGAGAGGCCAGCACTTTGGTAAACACAATATGAAAACAAAGAACTACTCTTTAATTATTGGCATAGAAATAGTGGCAAATAAAATTACTTCCTGAACCACATTTGATCACCTTATTAGTTGTAAAGAACACGTTTTGCCTGTTTTAATCAAATGAAACTCTTAGCCATCTGATTTTAGGGCTGTAAAGAATGTTTATAAGAACTCAGGATCCTTGATAGTAATAATCACAGTACTAAAATGGTTATGTAGGAAGACAGTAGTTAGATCCAATGAGAAATATTTTATCAGGTTAGCTGGTTAGAGAAAGTATAAATATATATATTTTTAAAAGGCACAAAATATCACATATGAGAAGGCTATGGTGTAAAGTTTAACACTACCAACTGTGGTGGGAAGCATGATAATCCACAGCAATTGTTAGCAGCATCTGTGGTAGGACTGAAGTTAAATAGAAATAGAAGGCATTTGTTTAACATATGATCTTGTTGAAAGAAGGGTCCCAGCATAGTAAGTTTTTCTTTGTAAGACTAGTCAGAGGTGGGCCTTTCTAAGGATATAAGGATGGCGCCACAGAAAGAGATTCAAATGCTGGGAGACAACGGCAGATACAATAAGGCTTGTTAAAATCAAAAGCTAGTAGAAACCAGCCTTAAAGGTTCTCTGAGCAGAGGAAACCAGTTTAGTCATTAATTTAGCTTAATCACCAAATCATTGTGAAGACCCTGCTTTCTCACTATGTAAGCTGCTTTGTAATGGTATACCCTGAGCCTCATTCCATGTTTTGGTTTGAGTACTCCCAGTCTGCAAGCTGCCTTTTTTGGGGTGTGCACAACAAATTTTCACCAATTACTACTTCAGTGATTCACTGGTTTTACTTCGGCTATTTCTGAATCTTTGACAGGCTGCTTTTAAGATGCAGAGAAATCTATTAAGCAAAAGGTGATTTAGACAAAATGCAAAAGCTTTCATTTATGCAGAAACTTGTACTAAATAAAAGGGGCAATGTATATTTTAGCAATGCCTGTCATTTTTTTTTTTTTCTAACTGACCTGGCATGATTAGTGGACACTGTTTGACTGGAGTTGTCAACTACTAATTGCTTTCTCATCAGCCCAATATTTAATGTACAATCCCTCTAGAACTAACTAGAACTAAAGGGAAACACTCAGAATTTTAGGAAGTTTCGGTTAGCAATCAGGTGTCTTCTGGTTTTCCTAGTCTACTCTTTGTGAGGTTTATACTTCATCTTAGAAGCTGAGTGACTGTTGCTCCTTTTTGATAACCAACAAGAGGCAGCGCCTGAGACCTGTTTGGCTGCTGTCCTGGATAGAAGAGTTTGGTAGCCCTAGGGAGACGAAATTCTTCAGGCTGGGGCACGCCCAGAGAAAAGGAGCAACACCCTCTCAGCCACTACTCTGTTGCTATGAAACAAAAGACTAGGAAGGTGAGCAAAGCAGGAAGTCCCGCCTTTTAGCCCCAGTTGGCTTTGGCTCCAGCTCCCAACGCTCACGCCCACCTGCCCACTCCTTATTGGTCAGCTCCCTAGTGCCTTGCATCCTTTCTTCCATTTCCTTTCCTTTTTTACACTTTCGTTCTCGGGTGAGTCCACTCTCCCCCTTTCCCTCTGAGTCCCTTTCTATTTGGGACGCGCGGCGTGCGGGCCTTCCTTTGGGGCCATTGTGTATGGTGTAAGACGTGGACCCAGTGTGGTTGAGAGGACGGGCGCCTCCCGCCCATTGGCGCCGCCCGCTGTCTGGCGGTGCACGGGTGTGCGGGATTGGTCCACCCCCGTGCGGCCCCGCCCCCAGCCCCGCCCCACGCCTGGGTCTCTGTGTGTGTGTATCCTACAGCGGTGGGGCGTCCAGCGAGTGGTCTCCTCCTCCAGCTAATGCCGCTGCGGCGTCCCGCGGCCTTCGGGAGAGTCGGGCGGGAGGGGACAGCGGGTGTGGATTGGTCTTCACGGTAATTGTTGCGTCTCCCTGTCTCGGTGGTCTGCGCTCTGGGTTGCTCCTTCCTCGGGAGTGTGCTTCTACAGTGATTACACGCTCCCTGCCCGGGCTACCCACGCACCCTGAGCTCGTACGGGTAGAGTCGGACCCGCGCACACGCGTGTCTCTGGACAGTTACGGCGCTGAGAGGCCAGGAGGGAGGGGGGAAAGGCTCGACGTTTCTTTCCGGCCAGGGGGCCCTGGGGCACCCAGGCGAGGGCCACGGAGGAGGAGGGGACAGTCCCGGCTCCCAGCTGCTGTCGCCGCCGCCGTCACAGTTTTAAGAGGGGTATTTAAAGACCGGAACCCCGGCCGGGCCCGGGGAGGTGGAAGAGGGAGTAAAGCCAGACGGGCGGCCGGGATTGCAGACAAGCTGGGAGGTGCGTCCACCCGGGAGCTGAAGGCGGAGCGCCCTAGACGGATGGGGCTGCGGGCGCTGGAGACGCGAGAGGATACTTTGTCCTTTCTCTGTCCATCTTCCTCCCCCAGCTGAGATCCGAAAGTGGCCGGGAAGGGGCCTGAGCAGGGGGAGGGGGCACAGACGTCCAGAAACAAAGCTTTGGGCAGACCCCCTACCCATCTTGGGTGCGATGAGAGGCAAGGACAAAACAAGTGAACTCTCGGTTCTGTGCCCGCTCTTGTCAGTTTCTCACTCTCTCTTTTAAAACGGGATGTTCTGTTTGTTGGTTTATTTAGCTCTTAACTTTAGGGTAACTCCTCGCCGCGTCGGTTTAAATAGCTGTGTTCCTGTGTCCATGTTCATGTGTCCATACTTGGTGATTTTAGCGAGGAATGCCCAAGTACTGAGCCTTTGTTGACAAGAGACGTGTCCTTTACGCTCCTGTAGAAAAATCCTTACGTTTATATAACTTGGCGAAAGCTAACAGTGAATGCGCGGTGTTTGGGGCTCCCCAAAACGTTTCTGGGGGCTTCAGTTCTAATATTTTCAATTGGGATTAAGGCAAGGAGGGGAAGAACATTGAGGTCTTATCTAGTGGCAGGGAACCTATGTAAATCTTTTTGCTGTTGCTACCAGTTGGGTATTAATCAAGCCTTCCTTACTTGAAATTTGAGGGGGATGCATCTTTAACTCTTAGTGTTCCAAAAGCAAATCTAAGGTTATTACTCCTAAACTTGTTGTGTGTAAATATTGAGAGTGCAAATTCACACGCTATTAAAAAGTTGAATCTGGGATTCTGGATTTTGTTCTAACTGATAGAAGAGGATGTAGGGGGCACAAGTTAACCAGGTCAGTTTTCTGTTGTGTAAATATTTTCATGACCAAGTAACTTTTCTTTTCTTTTCTTTTTTAATTCCAGATGGCAAATTCTATGAATGGCAGAAACCCTGGTGGTCGAGGAGGAAACCCCCGAAAAGGACGAATTTTGGGTATTATTGATGCTATTCAAGATGCTGTTGGACCCCCTAAGCAAGCAGCAGCAGATCGGAGGACTGTGGAGAAAACTTGGAAACTCATGGACAAAGTGGTAAGTTTTGTTTGTGTCTGTAAATAGTCCTGTTCACCCTGGATATGGTTTCTCCAGTTTCGTTTATACTGCTAATTAATAATTATTGTTGTATCAAGGGTCTTTTGATTTGGACTAACCATTTTTCTTACATCCACTTTGTGTTTTTTTTTTTTTTTTTTTTTTACTTTTGTACTACTCTTCAAGGTTCAAAGTTCCTCTAGTCCATATGATTCAGATATGCAATGATTTTACTGTTGGCTGCTCTTGGTTAGTGTATGGCCATAGATAGAATAGTTTGGAAGTGTTTGTTCTATCTTATGTGAAGTTGTTAAAAAAGAGTGCAGATGAGTAATTTAAGAAGCCTCTGCTGGACCACTCATGATAACTACAATGTATGGTGTTGAGAATATTTACAGGGGAAAAAACACAGATTAGTTCTTAAGTAGGGAAGCAGTATTTGAGAGAGTTTCCATTTTCATCTTTGAGAATTCATCTTCATTAAGAAACTTTCTTGTTGTTGTTAATGGTAGTTACAGTTTCTTTCATCTATTCCATTTTGAAACAGGAAACCTTTTGATTGCACATTGTTTATCGTGAAAGGAAAATTTATGATGGAGGTGGTGGGGCTGAGAATATCAGAAAACCTCTGTGGTTTCTGCATATTGCTTTCAGGTGAATTATAACTTCACAAGAAGAAATAAAGCTGGATGTCAGAACCAGAATTAATAGTTCTTGCTTTTGAAGCAGTAGCACTATCCTCTATATTTTGGTAAACGTTTTAGCACCTTATGGTTTTATTTCCTAGACATATGGGGCTAATTATAAATTTACCTGATTTAAGGCTCTTGATACCTTTATAATTGTGGAAATGGTGGTTTAAAAAAGTATTCCTTTGTAGGGATGTGCTAAAGCCTCCATGAAATCCTATGGTAGCAGTCATCTTTGGTTTGTAACTGTGTGCAAACATTTGCCACAAAAAGCCACTGTCAGTGGTATTAGCAAATATTAGTATAGGAAGGTGATAAGATTTACTTTATTTTCATTTATCCTTATGGAAAGTACAGATAGATAGATGAATGATAGGCCTATCATTCTGTGGCTAGTGGTGCTAAATGCAGAGCCAGAATATTTTTGCCGGATAAGTATCCTTAGTTTTGGGCTTCAGTGTGACCTATTTAAGCTCCTGCCAATTTATTCAAATTGTGATATTAAAGTGCTCCAGACAGAATGATGTCATAGTGTCAGAATGGCAACTTGCTGCTTGAGGTCAGGTTTTGATTTTAGCATTGGATACTTAAGACTGAAGAGTATGCAGTTGAAAAAATTACATATATTTGGTAGGCACAGTACTGGCTGTCTTTGTTTTTCTAAAGAGTATGCAAGTGAAGGTCACTCTTAATGCCTAAATCAGTATTTGGGTGTAAGAGAAGGAATCCAAGGTTTTTTCTCTAGCTTATCTGTTATATGAGTGGGCAAAAACATAGGTCAGAGTCTACTAGGTTGCTGCTCCTCCCCCTCCACCCTCTTCTTTGAGTGGTCAGAATTTGTACATTTGTGAATGAATGTTAGAACATCAAATGAAAAAGATTTATGTCAGGAACTGATGAAGTATAGTTAATATAAAGTCATTATTTTTGAAACTAAAAAATGTGTGTGTAATTTTGGTCTACAACTGATTGTTAAGTTTTATCCACTTTTAATTATTTCACTATGTGTTATGGTAAAATAGATGGTTATTTGATAGTTAAGCTTCTGCCATTGTTTATTTTATTAACCCTTTTGTGGGTTTGGGTTTAGCCCCCTCCATTTGAGAAACTTGACTTACAAGGAAATCTATTATCTGAAGTCTCTACTTAGTGGAATGAGGCTCTGGGTGTTGGCAAAGGTGCATCGTATGGCTTTTCATTTGTCTTCATTATTTGTCAATGGTAAAAATTGTTGTGTTTACTTATGAATGCATCCGTGGGCTTTGTGGAAGGAAATTACATAAATCATTATAAAAAAGTTCAGTATGTTTATTGCTACTCTGTCACACAGTAAGAAAAAGGCATTGATAATTACTAATTGGAAATATATTTTATTTAATTGTGTGACGCAGAAGCATTCCCCACATGTGTTTATCTTTTCTTCTTTGTCAGTGGTGAAGGAAGTGGTTCGTAATATCAACATTGTCCTAGTGATTACATCAGGAACTTTATTATTAGTCCAAAAGTTAATCCCTTGACACATTACCTAACTGTTTTGTAAAATAACTGCAATAGCGTGAGGTTAGCTTGTGAATAACAGAAAATCGTAACTTTCAGTTCTCACTGGAAGTTATGTAAAAGGCAGGGTAAAGTGTTTTGTTAGCATTTTTTCTTTATGAAGCCTTTTCAACAAGGGCAGATCTTAGAAGTATAAATAAGAAAACAAGCTTTAAGTTCAGTGTGTCTCAGCTGTGTACAAAGTAAAATAACTTATTTTACAGGAGAAATGAAGCAGTCTGAGATTGTAGAAGACAATCTAGTAAGTGTGTAGTTTCACCATTTTTTGGCCTCTAGAATTTAAAACAGTCAACTGAGATTCCAGTTCCAACTAACTGTTATGTTTTCAGAGAGCATGCTTTCTATACAAGGTCACTGAGAGTGGGAGGGAGTAATTGCTCAGTTGTGTTCCTTACAAGATGTAAAGTGTTTTGTAACAAAACTTCAATTACGTAGAGTGAGCAGAGTACATTTACTGAGAAAAAGAATAGTAGCATATTCCAACAGTCAAGGAATTTGGACATATAGTCTGGCCTTAGCTCTATGTGTCAGTCAGTGTAAGTCAGTAGCTGACCCCAAACTCTTCAAGTTAGTGATGCCTATTTCATACAGTCACAGAACTATTACTTGTGAATACAGATCTGGGTTCAAATACACTTGAAATACAGAGTCTGTTCTAAAGCTATTGCAGAGATGGGGTGTCTGAAACACTTAATAAACATTTATGGAGGGCCTACTATGTTTCTACTAAGTGCTTCATACTGGGGATGCAAAGCTAGATAAGATATAACTGCGTTTGATCTGTCAAGGAATTCAGGGAACAAACATCAGAGCCAGACATATAAATGGATAATTGCCATGAAACATGGAAAGGGCTGTAATACAGACTTACATAAAGTACAGTAGGAGCAAAGTAGAGAACAACCACCTTGTTTTTCTGGCCACTGTTTAGACAGTTGTCGTCTGGATTCTGCTGGCCCTGCCTCTAGGAACACCATTATCGCATTCTTGTTGGAAATATCGAGGTGAGGGTAAGGAAATGATTACTAATCAGTATGGTAGGAATGATAATTTATTAATGTGAGGTTCCTGAGCATGGTTTTCACAAGCATCTGATTAGCCAGGTGATAAAAAATGGAAGAAACAGTTTTCTTTCTAAAAGGTACTGAGCATATGTGGCTGCTCAGGAAATTAAAAAATAATTAATTGAAGCCAAAGAGCAAAGCAAATTGAGTACCTGCCTACGTTTTGTCTTATTGTCTTTGCAATTTTTTTTTTGAAATTACATTACTGAAAGAGTTTTAAAAGCCTTTAAAAAGCAATGCGAAACAGCTTTTTGTTGCCTTTTACCCTCAATATATTTAGTATTACATTTGTCTAGCTTGGAATATAATTCATTCCCTATCTTTATAATTTCACTGTGACCGTAATATATTTTAAAGTTCATCAATCAAAGATACTTCATTTATTTGCAACTATTTAAAAAAATTAGAGTATTCTTTTCTAAGTTGAATTCTTCATACCTCTGAAAAACATTGCAAGTAGAGTAAAACTTAGATTTTGATGCCTAATGTTTGTGTTTGCTGGGTTTGAGAATATCATCTTCATTGGACCCTTAGGATAAGGAATATCATTTATTTGAATTATTCTTCATATATTTCCTTAAATGAAATTGTTCTGTGTTAGAAGAATCATGAGCCCTAGTAGACTTGGAGAGATAACACATTAAGTGTCTGGGCGATTTTGTTTAGTACTGAGTTAGGTTTTGAATTTGTCCTTAAATGAAGTGATTTCACAGTTAGTTACTTGTCACTTCTAGGAAAAGTTTTTGATAAAGTAAAAAACTTAAAGTAATCCTTCCAAGAGTTACCTTGGTTTATTCTTGTGGTATAGGGCATGCACTTAGCAGAAGCCTTAATCAGTTAGTAATCTTTTAATTTGTACAGAATTTTAACCATTTAGATTTTGAATCTTCTTACTTTCTTTCAAAATTCTTTATATGCTGTCTGTTGATTTCATAATTCATTTATCATCCCAACTTTAGAGAGAGAGATTTATAAATAACCATATCATCCTGTAGAATGTAGTAGTGCTATAATGTGGTATAAACAAAGTGTTGTGACATAGTATTCCATGGGGGTGAATCTTGCTTGCTGGGAGTGAAGAGTTGGTGTGGAATGCAGCATGTTGGAGGTCCTACCCAGCTATTAATTTGTATGTTTTGGGTTCCAGTAAAGTGGAGGACATATCAGGTTGAAGGAATGATGGGTAAAGGGAGATTGTGGAGTGAGAGAAGGTAAGTTAGAGGAAGATGAAGAAGCTTTGACCACTCTGTCAAGGAATTTGGACTTTGTTTGGTAGATAGAGAACCATTGAAATCCTTCAGCAGAGAAGAAGTCAAGGCTGTGGTGTGATAGTTGACTCTCTTGAATCTACAAAGAAAATTTAAGAGAAAAGAAACTTAAAAGTAGGAATAGTGATCAGGAGGAATTAAAACAGACTGGGCAGAAAATAATGGAGGACTAAGAATTGACTATAGGTATGGTGAGTGTTGGTTCAAATGTAGGAGGCATTTTGGAGGTAATATCTGCAGGTCCTGGTGACCCTTCAGAGACAAGCTGAAAGAGAAGGTGAAGTGAAAGTGACTTTTGAGGTTTTCAGCCTACTTGATTCTGAAGGCAGTGATGCCTTTAATGATATAAGGAACATAGGAAGAAAAAGAGGAAGCTTGGGAGTTGGTGCATGTTAAGTTTGTTTTTGGCCATGTTAGGTTCG